ACATTGGTCTCTCATTCTAGCTGAAAATTCCATTTAATAAAAGGGAATAAGAGTTATGTGCCATAAGAACACAACCTAAAAGAATCTGAATGTCCAACTCCAACAAAAGCTACTGAGGAGATGCAATAGGGAAATGGTAGTCCAGGTTTGGCTTCATAGATGGAAACTTACCTGATGAAGTCAAGATGCAAATGAATTAAGTGCACATCTCTTCAAACATTGCAGGTATAATGGAAGCAAATCAGACATGTAAATATAGTTCCCATAGCCTTCATTCCCTACAGAGTGGTGTCCACTATTTTGAAATGTATTCTTGGAAGAAGATAAAGGAGATGCACATACATTGCTGGAAACAATTTTTTTTTATCAAAGCAAGGATTATTTAGGATATAATGGGACATGCATGTAGTTTATTTCTCATAGCCTTCATATCCCTACAGAGTAGTGGCTGCCATTTTGAAATTGCTTTAGAAGATGATCCAGTACATTTCTTGAAACAAAATTTTCATCAGAGGCAGAAGATTTTTCTCAGTAAATTTGTTAAAAATGATTATCTGAAAATTTTCTGCTGATCATTTTGTATATTCTTTGTGACATTCTTGATTTAGAATATGATTAAAAGTATATTAGAATTAGTTAATTCATTTGTAGGCAATGTGTACAATTGCATATTAGAAAAATAAGTGATTTGAGGGATATCCTTCTAGGTAAACTATGCACAGTGGCCACTGACCAATGGGTGTAATGATTTTTTAGGTGAGGTTTTAGGTTCTCCCACTTGTTTTCATTTTGAAAACAATTATTTATTCTCCAGACATTGATTAAAAATAGAACTCAAAATCAGGCTGTGAAAGATGAGCTTTAACCACTGTACTTTCTTGCTATATGCTTTTCCTATGAAATACACCTGAATCCAAGGCCTCCTGTGTCATTGCGTTTATCATACATTGGGTGCTATGTACTATGTGTAATTTTTAAGCTCTTATTTCCAAAAATATGGCATCAACATAGAGAGTAGAATGTTGTATTAGTGGTTCATCAGAACTTCTAAGTACATTAAAAACAAGTATAAAGAGTATGCCCCCTTAATTTGCTTTTTCACTTTACTAGATAGAATCCTTATAATTTAGAAACACACACAATTGAAATTTACTGGCTTTGATTCAAGTATTTTAACATTTCACATTGTTTTATTGAAGACTAAGAAAAAATTCAGACTTTGGGATCTTGACCAAGACAAATTATATATGGAAGAATCAGTGCTTGTCAGGATGATACTGAAAGAGCATATTGATCTGTCAAAAACAACAATTACAATCAAAATTATATTAACAAGTAAACCCTGCATTTTTTGGTCTGTTTTGCTCCCTAAATTAGGATTACTTTCAATCATAAATGGGAAAGTGTCCCCAGACAAATTATTCATTAATATTTGGAAAGTGTTTTTAAAAAGTTTATGATGCAAATAGTTCAGAATATCAATAATGTTTTATTTGTTCATGAGAATCTATGTACTGCTTCTATGAAGAGAGACCATCTTCAAGGTCTCATGCCTTCTTTGGAGAGCCCCTTGCTCTGTCTTTGATAAACATTGTTTCTTGAAAGAAAAAAAAAAAAGCTGAGGCAATTGACCTTATATCCTCAAGCTTTGGAATTGGATCTTTTTCTTAGCCATACCTTCTTTATTACCCATCTGAGGTACATGTACCTTAACAATAACCACAAAACAATCCCATATATTTCTCCATGGAATTTCAGTGTACCAAGAAAACTTTCAGTTTTTGCTATAGAGTGATATAGAGTATCCAGCTATTTCTGAGGCTCAGTGAGATAGACTTATAGCCATTAATCTTTTAAAGGGTTGTAATGAAATGATTGGCAAGTTGACTAGTAAAGTCGGGGTTAGAAAGACTGGATAAAAGGGTATATTCAATTTGGAAGGGAAATCAAAGATGAACTAGATCATCCACCTTATTTGACAGATAAGGTCATGAAGTTTCTCTTATGTATAGATAAGTTAGAAGCTTTCACAAAGACAACTTTCAATATAAAGATTTTCTAATTCATTTTCAACAATAAGAGGTTGTTTCTTATCACACAGTTCTTTCATAGGCAACAATACACGTGCAATCAATACAGGTATTCATGACAAACATCAAAGTACTAGAAGCCGCTCTCTATTTCATCAAGATGGTATCTGGGCACCCTGCTGTTTTTGCTGGGGCGCCTAAGATTGACACTTGGTACTCCCTCCTTGCCCCCACACATGCTCTGTCCTTACTAGAGTTCAGTGGGCACCAGAAGTCAAAGACAGCTGTTGAGGCATCGTGAGGAGAAGTTATGGTTAATTTTGTTTAAACAAAAAAATACATGAGACCATTAGACACTGTAGAGAGAGCAATCATTTACACCTGTCATTTAATTTTCATTTCTGAGAGAATCTAGCAGAGATTTTTTTCTAAAGTCTTGTGAATTTTCCAATCCAGGGGTATTTTTGCTTGTATAAGAAAGGGAAGGAAATGAAAAATGCCTGTGTGATCAAAATATTGCCAAGTTGTCTGGTTGCTAAATGCTTTGATTTCATTGGCATTCTATGAGGCAATTGGTTTGCCAAATTAAGCAAAAGACAAAGCTACCAAAGTAATTAAGCACTCTAATATACAGATATATGTTGTGTGTGTGGCCACAGTAGGAAACACATTATTAAGAGAATCATGTAGGTCTTAAGGAAAGAATTTCTTCCTTTACCCTCAGTATTTCTTTAAAAGGGAAAGAAAGAAATGGAAGAGATAAAGTTTGTTTAAAGGCTTCATTTTCCAGGGCATATTGAGGTGCATTTAAAATTGAGAACAGCCCAGAAACCTTGTGCTGATCTTGCCTGAATTTCTGGAGATGAGAGTACAAACACAGTGTAGATGTGCTATTCATTGAAAACACTTTACTGAATTTATACAACTGAATAATAATAAAAAAGTATTCTTTATATATAAAATGTTTCCCAGATACCAAATGATCAAATAAAAATCCCACCCCTCCTGCTGTGTTCCTAGGTATACTACATTCTCGTTGAGAAATATTTCATAGCACTTATCTCAGGTTTACAGGGCTGGAATCAAAGGGATCACTACCCCGACCACGCACACATACACTTAGGGAGTAATGGTTTCCTTATAGCACCATATGGCAGGATAGCTGTTGAATGATGGCTGCATACATCAAACACATCCTGGTGGAGACCTGGTTACTGAAAGCCTTACCCACACTTGCCAGTGCCTGTCAAGTTGTAGTTGCCATTCATTCCAGAAGCCAATGGGCATTTTCAAGACTTGCCCTTCTGTTCTCTTTTTGGTAGGTCTGATGTGTTGTCATGATCAAAACCGATTAATTTTGAATTTCTATATAGGCAGCACTCTTCAGAAACCCTTGCTATTGCTTCTTAACCTAAAGTATATCATTGGAGATGTGGTAAATTGACAAGCATTTAGTCTTTAACCTATAGCAAGGTAGATATTGGACCAGAGTGTGAAATATGGAATATTTAGTGTTCATAGATAATTGGGAATAAAAATTTATAATTCTCCAACATCATTTCTAGTATTTCTTATTAGCACAAAATTGGTCATATTTTGAACAACAGCATTCTACAATAGTCACTGGCAATTTAGAGTCATAGAAGCTTTATATAAAAAAAAAGACATCAGAAAATGGTTCAAAGTAAAAAATGGTGACAATCACCAGTTATGAATATACAGCCTATTTAATTACAAATTTCCAAATATCTATTCACATAATAAAGGCAAGGAAAATGAAGCAAAAATCAAGTCTCTTGTAGAAATAAGCACTTCTCTGTAGGCTCACGAGCTTGAAGGGACAAAGTACTCATGGCTCCAAGTATATGCCATGTTAGATTGACTTTCAAAGTCTGATGTTATCACTACTTGTCAACTGATGCTCAAAGATGTGCATATCTAGACGTGGACCCTTTGCACAGGAGCTTCATATTCCCAAAGGAGACAAATGAGAACCAGAAGTAATCATTAATATTCGTGGTTTTATGGAAGATTTTGTCTAGACTATTCTAGGCAGTTACTATACTTCTAAACTTTACATCATACTGCCAGTGGACTATCTGATACTCATGCTCCTTAGAATGCACAAGGAAGTGGGTTATGTTATAATCAGAGTATATGGTTCTACCTCATTTTGTAAAATAAGATATTAGAACAAGACTTGAGTCTTACTGACAATATTAATTTTTTTCCCAGTGTAAATAATAACTTCATTGAGTCATAGAGTACATACCTACCCTACTGATTAGGTGAATTCTGAATTGATCCTTTGGATAAGCAACAGAGAATATTTTAGAAGAATAAAACAAAAACCAAGAACGAGGTTAATGTCTTCAGACTTGTGAGGCCCTCCAGTCCATTTGATAACTGTGTTCAATTTCAACATAATAGGTATATAGAATATCCAATATGGTATCAAGATCTCTTCCTAAAATTTTCCCAAAGATAAAGTATTTTTAAATGTCAGTGATCTAGACTTTAAAAATTTTTGATTTTCAAAAATTCTGACATTACCTCTGTTTTCAAAACAACAGAACTTTAATGGGACAACTAATAAAAGACACATGACCTTTTGTTAAAGTGTGTTTCTACCAAAGTGTTTTCAACATTTGAGACCTTGACTTTCTGCTAAGCAGTTTTGATTTTTTTTAAAAAAGTTTTCTTTTGCCTAGATGGCTTTATGTCTGTTATTAACGAATGTTCACAAAGAGCAATTTTCAATGTATTTTCAACAGAAACAATTTAACCTGAAACAGGAATTGTATATTTTCACTAATCAATTCACAGGTAGTTACATTTGCCTTTCCATGGATTGTGATTTATCTACAAAGAAATTTTAACCCAGGTTTTCCCAAACTGCAGTAAAAGAAATCTTTTATATACTTTCAAATACTGTGCCTTTTTATTTAAAACAGTGTAAACATGACACTGTTTAACACAGTGTAAACATAACAACTCAACAACACCAATAATTGGAAAAAGACTGGGTATGTGAACACTAATTTCTTTGAATGCCCCATGAAAGTAAGGGAAAATAAAACAGACAAATCTTCAGGAGAGGTTTCAGTTCACCTTAGCAGTGGTAAAAATATTGCTTTATTCCAAATAAACATACCACACAATTTCCTGTTCTTTGGGGGGCTTTTTGTGAACTGAATAGTCTGGGCTTTGTAATTTCAGCGATTTATTCTTTCCATATCAACCACTGAAGCTAATGACCTGGTCCACACATAGTAGACTTGCTATGAAATCAATAGCAATGAGAATGAAGAGAACAAAAATGGTAGCTGTCAACTAGCTTGTGTAAATAATTGAGGTATGATTCAAAATAAACACACATCCTCCATTAATCACTTTGTGATACTGATATTCTCAATAAGCCAATAGTTGCTCCTTTCAAAAGTATTCACATCAGAAAATGGTCTAGACATTGTCAAGAGGTTATAGGACCCCACCATGCAAATGATCTTGATTTAAGAACTCACTAACTGAACTTTATATTTAATTAATAACTTCCAAGTGAAACAGATCTAAGAGGGAAATTTTTTCTGAATATTAGATTCCCTGATGTTTCAGAACAAATTTTTAGCAAGCTTAATACACACACACACACACACACACACACACACACGCACACACATACGCACGATGAACATGTGCACACAGCATATGTGCTGAAGGTAGCAAGTCCACACCTCACACGCTCGCTCACACACGTGCACACAGGCGCGCACACACACAGAAATGCTCTTTCAGAGCTTCTAAACAATCTCCAAGAAAAACATTTCTATTAGCATGATTTCAGTGACACAACATTGTGACTTTTTCTTTTTTTGTCTCTAATAATTTCGTAACTCCCTCTGAGTGTTTTCAAATTTCAGAGGAGGATGGCACATGAGAGTAGCTAAGATTGCTCCAATTACTCCCTCCATCACCTGTCTTCCTTTCCATTTCAGTCTTTGTGCCATTTTTCAGCAAATCAAATACAAAACACTATGTGGCTTGATGTGACATAACCTGTGATGAGGGTGATCGGTGAATGGAAATTTAGGGGTTGGAACTGGCAAGCCAAAAGGCAAGGGCCACCTGCTCATGGGCACATCCACCCTCGGGATACAGCTTGTCTCTTTGAAACCAGGTTAACTACCAGTGTTTTTTTTTTTTTCTCTTGAGGACACTGGCACTGTGGACTGAGGGTCTGAAATGTCCACATTTTCTAAAAGCCAAAGAGAACATTGTTAGGACTAACTGAAATTGGATTCAGAATTCTACCCAAAAGCTTTAGTGGTAAGCTTTATCCCTCCTGAAACATTTCTTTCCCTTTAAAAAAATATTTTGTTAAAAAATACTATGATATGAGGGCGATAGACTATTTGGTTTCTTCTAAGTAGATGCTCTTAAATTAATGCATATAAATAATTTGTATTTAATTTCCTCTCTTTCCTGTTGAGCAAAGCATAGAATGCACAGATTCTTACATCTCCAGTCACTTGGTCAATGTGGAGTCTCTTTGTGTTTCATTTAAGACAAATTGTGCCTCGAGTTCTGATTTGGCCGTGGGACTCAGGGGGAGAAAGGCTGTGTTTTCACTCGCACTATCCTTGGTCTCTACGCTGGCCAGTTCATAGTCTTCTGACCATCTGGCATCAGTCAGAATTCGGATTTGTTCCTGGACAGTCTCTAGCAATATTTTCACTTCTTGTTGTTCTGGTAAAAGACAATCACTGACTGGAATACTCACATTGATGATGTCAGCAGAATAAGAGTTTTTGCTCCATTTGATGATTTTGACTTCAGAAATCCCTAACATTTGCATGCAGGTTTCTTCTAGACCCACTGAAGGGATGATGGGCACAGAACTGGCCCTTGTGGATGAATATCCCACCAGGTCCTTTTGATCCAAGCTATTAAAATAGGGGTTGGTTTCTCTTGAAGGCAGTTGCATATTTATTGATGCATTTTGTTGGGTTTTTAAACCATTGGATGAATACCTGAGAAAGAAACAAAGTATCACACATCCTGCTTTCTGCTATCTTTAGAGCAATAGTCAATCCACAAAGAACTTTTCACATGCACCACCTCACTGAACTCTCACAGCAACCCCAGAGACGGATAATATGCTCCCAGTTAAACAGAGAAGTAAACTGAAGCTCAGGTCGCTGAAGTGACTTGCCCAAGGTCACACAGAAAATAAGTGACAGACTGAGACTCAAACCTAGATCTTCTTACTTTAAGTCCAGGGGTCTTTCAACACACCACAGCTGTATAGGCAGGTGGGATATAGTCTTCCTGACCTCTATCCTAGAATACAAAGTAAATGGGGATTGAGCAGGTAAGTGTGGCCTTTCCATAGTGACAAACAGGAAACCCATAAAGGCATTACCCTACTCCATCAACTCGACCACCTTCTCAGCCCTGGCTTAGTCCAGTAGACATGTTGTGGCCACCCTAGTTGGAGGCAAGTGGGAAGCCCCACATCAAGCATAGGTATTGCGGTCCTGAATTTTATTGCTTTACCACTAATTTTAGGATATATGAATCCAGTTAACAGCATACTACCTTTAAGAATTACCTTGCTAGCCCCTTGCTGAGTCTGAAGTTGGGAAGAGGAGCACACAATTTTTCTGCCTGCCTAGGGATCAATATGAGGTGGCTTCACAGGGACTCCTACCAGTTGAGCAGCTTTCTTTGTGTAGTTTCTAGAATTAGGTAATTCAATGGTGCATGGCGACAACTTGTCAAGAATGCCAGCATGCCATTCCAAGTAATTTGAGTATGCCAGAATGTGACTAGGTTCATGGATGGTGATTTTTTTTCCTCCTCTGAGCTCTCTAATGCCAGAAAGTAGGAGAGATATATCACAGATTTATTTTTTAAAATATGTGATTTGGGAACTTTATCAGATTTTATTCTGTTTCTTAGTGGTTTGTCTTGAACATTAGACATGTTGAGTTATATTTTAGTGTTACTCTCCTTATTATACATTTCATTTCCTTGTCTTACATTGTTGTGTAATAAACTCATGTTTATACAAGTAAAGAATAATTGGAAGAGAACATGTTGCATCTAAATAGATGTCCTTCTTGTAAGGTCACAATGGGAGCAATTTCAAGGTATGCCTTTCCGCCAAATTCTAAGCAAAGGTACAGAACAGATTTAGGTCTTTGTAGTCCAAACTTTTCTTACTGTGCATCGAATAGAGTTGGCAATCACTACGTCTTGATCTAACACAAGAATACAGGAACAAATCTTCAAGTAAATACTCCCTTCATATCCCAGCTAATATCCATTTTCAAATATAATAACAATAGCTAACACTTGCTTGGGGTCACTTTCCTCATTAATTGAAAAAACGTTGTTTAATTTTATTATTCTTATTCTGTAATTGATAAGCAAACATCCTAAAAGATACTCAAATGAATTGTCCCCAATTCTATCATTAGTAAGATTTAGTAAGAGACAGTAGAAAGAATTAGTCTTATTCTGATTGTTACTATCAAAGCTAGAAACTCTTGCCAAATGAACATCCTGAGGTAACTCAGAATACCTTAATTTATTTATTTGGATTATAGAATCTTTACTCAAGCAAACTGCATAGCTGTGTATAAAGAACTTCTCTGGAAGATCCTACTACTTTCTCTTCAGTGTAATATGACTAAAAATCAGTCTGAAGTTTCTGCTCCATGAATTTCAAGAGTAAGGGGACAAATCTCAGGCTCTTATAGTTTGTCCTTGGAACCAACCTATTATCATATGACTATATAGATAATCTGCCTATCAGACTCACTAATGAAACAGAACCAGGAAGTATAACTAAAAAAAAAACTGTTCTCTACATCAAAATCAGCAGTTTGGAATCTAGTAAGTTGACCGTGATAGTGTTTATATCTATGCATAGGAATTTGCAGCTATCTGTAAAAGCACCAAATTAATATTGTAGGTGATGTTTTAAACAAGTAAACAATGTGGCACATTTTAGTACAAAGGCAATTAAAACCACACATGAAGAATTCTCCTAATATACCTGAGACCTGAAGGAAGGACTCAGATGAGAAAGAGAAAATGCAGTTCACCACTATGTGATTTTCCAAATTAGCTATTGGACATATACCTGGCAATAACTGAAGCCTAAAACGTTACCAGAACATGAAGATGGGCTTTAAACAATGAGAACTCTCCAAGACGTAATTTAATTTTGGATTAGACAAAATTAATTCCCCAATGCCATTACATGCACTAAATCTCAGACAAATGGTAGTCTCGTTTTATTTTTCCTCATCAACTAAAACAGGAGGGAGCTGGGAATGTGGATCAGTGATAAAGCATGAACTTGGTCTATACCAGGCCTTTGGTTCAAACTTTAGCATCAAAAAAAAGTAATAGTAATTTGAAGGACCATGTTGGAGCAGGGGGTGCAGTACTCTGAGAGTCCTAGGAGAAGTTGAAGTGAGAGCTTAATTTCTAGAAGTGGTCCTGACTTACAAGATAATCAAGTTCTATATTATCTTGAGTCAACCTTTTTCTGGCTTGGTTCATGAGCCTGTTGTTCATTGACTTTTACAACAGTTTACACTATCCTTCCTCCAATTCCTCAACAAAGAAATCACAGATGCATTTTGTCTGTAAATATTATTCAAAGCATCCTTCTTAAGAAGAAAAATTCCAACAATTAATTTTTTGGTTCCCAGTAATTCAGGGGTCAGGACAAGGGATCTGCTTGACTAGGTGACTTTAAGACCAAGTTCTAGGGTAGTATGACATTTTAGAATGGATTGACTAAATTGAAGAAATCTACTCTTTCCCTGAAACCATACAATTAGGTATTCTATTAACATATCAGCCATGAATGTGGCCTTCTTTACATCCATTTCCTGGTTTAGTCAGACCAGAATTCAATCTAGGCTCATTCACAAGGGACTATGGATGCCACCCAGAGCTAGCCATTTAAACTCTACTATCCTTACAGTGTTCATTTATAAAATTCCTAAGGTATAACTGAAATGTATCAAGTTGCTAGCTGGCTGTAGAATGAGCACCATATATGTTGGATCCAACCTACTTTTAGGATATGAATCTGACTTTTGTGATTCTATTTCTTCTTTCCTATGGACTATGAGCTTATGATTGAATTGCTTGGCATAACCCAGTTCAAAGCTCTATGAAAACCTCATCTGTGGCACCCATGGCTCAATCAGAAAAAAAGAGGTCTCAGTTATCTCTTCTTAACCTCCACTCTTGCTCCCTAATACACTAAAATAGGTGCTGGGTTCAAGTTGGACTAAAGTTCTTGCCAAGAAAAGAAGCCACACACTGGGAGGCTAACTAGCAGACAGTGACTTGTTGCTAAACAAGCAGCAGATGTTTGAGGGCTCTTGCAAATTTATTCACATATCCTGCCCTCTATCCCTGGCTCAGGCCAGATTTGAAGAGGGCCTTTAGCTGTGAAATTCTATTACCAATCCCATTTCTAGTCTAGAGAGACAGTCAGTCCCCTGGGAGTAGAAAATAGCTGTTTTTAAGAACTGGGAATGAGACTGCTCCCTGAGATTCATTGTGCTGAGCACACAGTGACTTATACTTAGAGCCACCATTTATCAACATTGGGTGCAGATCACACACAGGAAAAATACACGTGGCCAGATAGCTGTAAAGAATATTCCCAACCAACGGAGACTGAACCAAAACAAAATCACCACTGTGAGTCTCCCAAGAGGTAAAAGACACAGCGCTGCCTGAATGTGCAGTGGGAATGTCTGAGCCCTGGAAGTTATGCAAACATATGGTCTGGGCCTAGCATAAGCTCGGAGCATCCTCATACCCCGACCATGTGGAGTGAAAGACTGTATGGTCTGGGTTTCCTATCCACTCCCCAAAATCTGTGAAGTTGAATAAGGGAAAAAAAATTTTCATTCTAACATTCACTCTAAATGGGGAAAAAGTGTAAGAGTGTGTGTGTGTGTAAACACACATATACTTCCAAAAGACATAATGCTTCATGAATACTTTAATAAATCACTAATTACCTGCTATAATAATGGTAAATGCAAGCCCCTGTTTCAGAGAGAAAGCCAAGAGAAATGTGTACTACTTCTTGACTTGCATTATACATTTTGGACAACTGGGCTGTTATGTTGAATTTGCAACTGTCACCCTAAATCTGTACCAAATGCATTTTACAGTCTGTTTGGAATTGCTTTAAAATTACAAAATGTAGCCACAGGCTATTTGTGTCCTATCTTTTAGTCTTCTTAAAGAAATCTATTGCAGAACTTTGTCATACAGGGCACCACTGTATATATCACATACCCAGAAGGAAAGAGAAAGCTAAGGCTCTGTGCTGGACCTCCCACCTGATTTGATCTTTAGCTTAAACTCCCTGGCCTAGCTCATTCAAGATGAACAATTTAGAACCTGACTTTGAGTGAGGGAACTGAGGCCTGCAATTTCTGGAGTAATTTCTGATTCCATTGCTCTTGAAATCAATGATAACATTATGACAATGACAATAAGCACCGGTACAACTTCTGTGATTACTATGTGTCAGGTATAAGTTAGTTACACACATTTTAAAACAAAACTTACAAGCCCCAGGGGGCTTAAGTTCAAATGAAACTCAAGCTCATATGATAAAAAATTTCTCAAGTTCACATAAGCAGTAAGGGACAAGGGTATGATTTGAATTCTAGTCAGTTTAAATAAGGGCTGCCATGTTTGGTTGAATGGTTGATGCCAACTAGTATGTGATGGCTAAAATTCACTCCACTCACTATGCCTTGAGCCCCTTGAGGGTCTGTGTCCACCAGAGTAAGGGGCGCCTTTGGCACAGTAAGGAGCAGCAGCCATGATGTCGCAAAGCCCATCCTTCCATCCCTGTACCATGAATAATTAAGAGAGATGAGTTTTATAGTTGTGCTGTGACTTTGAACTTGTTCACATTGACCTAAATTCTCCATTTAAGAATGCCAGATGAAAGATTTTACATATTTTATCTATTACATTCATATATTTTATACATATTTATGTTTTTATGTAATATAGGTTATTGATTAGGAAATTAAGCATTTTTTCAGAATTACTGATGGACACTTTATTCCCCCTAAGAAATCTTATTTTTATCAAACACAAATTTTCAGTTGTCTTAGAAACTATGACATACTGCGTAGATCTCTACACTTATTTTTTAACATATCCTTATACCTATTTTCCATCATACCTATTCTTTTAAATTGGTTCAAACTTATGAAACAAAGACAAAAGTAAGTATAAATAGCCAGTTAATGAAGAAATTGGTAACATGTAGCTCAAAGCTATAGCGGTCATGACATCTTCCCTAAATTCCATTGCTTTTAAGACGAACCCTTGGCAAGGTATTGTATCTTGGTCTGGGATCCTTGATTCTTCGAGTTGCTGATATGCTGGTCCCACGATTCCACCCAGCCTACTTCTGGGTGAGGGGGGTGTCCTCCTGAAGGCATTCCTATGAAGCATTCCACTCCTTTGCCCTGGACTACAGCAAGAGGAGAGACTCCTGCAGGATTGAAAGAGGGAAAAGAAACCAAAGAACCAAAGAGATCATAGCAATAACCTCCAGGCAACTTCTCAAACATTGTATTTGTACCCTGGTTTCTCAAAGTTCTAGGCCATAAGCCATCCATGACGATAGAAATGTGCTTGGTTGAGATCAGGAATTGCTCAACTCATAGAAACTCAGACAAGTTTCTTTCTCTCTGACTTCCCAGTTTATAAGCCTACTGACTGAAATAATCCCAGCTTTCCTGCCAGAAATAAGAGGTGGGCTTAAATTCTCAAGGTTTATATTCCCACCTACCTTGGTTATATAAGACATAGTAGCTGTGTCTCTGGAATAAAAGAAGCCCTTATTAGATACAAGAATTAAATATAGAAAATTCACAAGGGATTTATGAAGAAATTTTCACTTCTAAGTGATAGAATAAATAAACCTGACTTTAATTGACATTCTTTCCTTAATATCCATGTTAAATTCTCAGTTAAGATTCCCAGATTTTCATTAGTCTTGAGAAACAATTTTTGCATTTGCTCTTAATAAATGTCTGATTAGATATTCCATTTGATGCATATCCAAATAATCATGTTTATAGCTATATAAATGAGATAGATCAGAGGTCTGAACAATATGAGAACACCATATGTAGTTTACATAAAACAAAAGAACTAGATTGTATAAAAAATATTCAATTGCTAGCCAGGCACAGTGGTATGCTCTTGTAATGCCAGTTACTTGGGAAACTGAGAATCACAAGATTGAGGTCAGCCTGGGCAACTTACACCCTACGTCAAAATACAATTTAAAAAGGGCTAGAGATATCACTTACATGTCTAGCATCCTTTCCTCAGTTTGCACCCCCAAAACAGTACTTGCTGATTTGACTCATTACTTATTCCACACAGATTCCCATCTCCACCCCCTGAATTGACTCTACTTAGACTAGTAAGGAGAACTTTGTTCTTTTGTAGGCATTTCATGAGATGCTAATTGTTGAGTTCAAACAATGAATGAACTAAGAATTTTGTGGATCCATGTTACATCTGAAAATATCAATTCAACCATAAACAAAGATGAAAAATATCCACAAAATTTCAATAAGCCTATCAAGTCCTAAAAGGGAGAGGCCCTCCAAAGGAATTTTACCATATCACTAAATTGTTTGGTTTCTGTCATTTTTTCCCATCAATATTACATTTATTTCTACTTGATAAATGTCAACATATGACCAAAATTTTCATTTTTATATTTGAGTGCTAGTAACCACTTTTCTGGTTTTGGCAAGATAACTGATTGAACTATATAGAACTTCTTCAATTTAGGCAGACACCAGATCATAACCAGAAACATGATTATACTTTTATTTTTATATTCTTTGTATGCTGAGTGCTAAAATTCTTCCCAACAAGTGGTGTATAATTAGGTCTCTAAGAAGTTCTTTATTAGAAACTATAGTTCCCCTCCCTACTTCTATCTATCATCCCCTGGGAATTAAAGAGTCTGTCAGGTATGGGAATCTAGGTGCTAGAGTGTACTATGTCTAAGTATAAAATCTCAGGTCTGAACCTTACTAGGAGCATGATACTGGAATTGAGACTAGTATCAGACTTGGAGGGAAATAAATGCTATTTTAATTTCAGCAAAGTAAGGTTTTAGAATTTAGAGTGTATAGCCTATATTTGAAAGTGTATAGCCTATTGTCCTTACCACTACTAACAAGGGGAAGCTATTATCTTTCTCTCTTGTTCCTTGGCTCTTCAGTCAGGAGAGTAAGGATAAGACCATCTGGCAGAGTCTGTGGGCCCCAGAAGACAGGTTGCTCAGGCTACCAAGGAAGGAAGGGGAAGAGATGCCACCACCTTACCATTTCCCATTGAGCCAAGAGAAGCCAGGGGACAAAACAGCCTGTAGCTCTTCTGGTACACAGGGGTGGGAGTAGGGAGCAGAAAAAGGAAGGTAACAGTATTGTGCTTATTTTTTTCATGGGATTAGTGTGGAAGCTAAAATATATGCAAATATTTAATGTGGAGCCTGGCAATTAGTAGATTCTCAAAAGAAAGTTTTTGTCTTGTTCTTCTGCCATTCTCCTAATCACTGAAAGTCCTGGAGTCATGTCACCATAGAAAACCTATATATGTGCTTTCTTTGAGCAAGTTAGATTGTCAAAATGTGCAATAAGGATGGCATGGTAGATTTTTTTTTTAAACAGATGGGAATTTTTGGACTAAACATTAGAAATAATGGCTTTGTTTCACAAATAAGTTATCCAAATGAGCTATATTTTTAGTGCACAAAAAGAAATTAATTATTCATATAGCTTGCTAAACTGTCACAACAGCAAAGTCTACCCATATGAGGAAGTAATCCATCTTAAAAATAATAGTCTGCATCTACTGGTCAATCAACTATTCAGGATGTTATGGAACAGTTTGTGGGATATATAAATCAGTGACCAGGTTATCAATCATGAAAATGTTTAAGTCTATTGCATGTTTTACAAAACAAAAACTATGATATATGAAACTATAATTTACAAAGTTCTAGAGGCACTTTATAAATCGCTGGTTGCCTATCTATCAGGACACAATGTATGCCAACAGATACTCCAATGTCATTGTACTGAACAAAAGGACAATGTCTTAATGATGTCCTTATTTAATCTGTGAGTGACTCCTAAAAGCCTGAGTAGAAGCCAATGTTCAGAATAAATATACAAATAAGAACAAAGGTATATTTCAGCTCTGATATATGATTCTTAAAATCTCAACTTTATGACAATTCAGTACTACAATGATTCACTAAACTCTCTTACTTGACTGGAAAAATACTCTGCTCTAATCGACAGGGGAAAATACTGTTTGGGTGAAAATATCCATCTTCTAAAAGGCTGGGAATTTTGGACTAAAGTCCATTAAAGTGAAATGCTCTTTCCATGGGGAAGTATTCTGTAAATGAAACAAATGATATAAACCAAAACTTGAGTTTAATATACTTACACCCTCTATTTCAGTTTCATATGGAATGCAAATTTTTTAAAAATAGTATGTTGATAATTATTTTAAGAATGATTGAAAATTTCAACATAACTGTGGGTACAAACAGGAAAGCCCTTTCCTAAGGTTCATTAAGGAGTGAAGGAAAAGGTTGTTTCCTTTTAAAAACTGTTTCTGATGGGGTTGTGTGCAAAGTGTTGCTGAGAGATGTGAAAACAAAGGTTGATAACAGTTATCCTTCATTGGTAGTAGTACCTCACTGTTTACTATCACATTCAAAATTTCAATTTACTACATACATTCTATATTTAAGCTACTGTACCTGTTTTGTTTTTGTAGCAGCATAAAGTTTTAATTGAAAGTAGAAAACTTGGTACTGTAGATTGGTAATTTAAAAAGAAGCTTCAGTCTTTGGACAATTTGTGCAAAGATTGAAGATGTCCATTTTGACACATAGAAAACATACACACATACATACTATCCACTATAACATTATTTCCAACAAACTTCACCACTTGGTTTGGAAGAGATACCTTCCATTTTTTGGAGTACAAGAACCTCGTGTATAAAGCAAAACACTGTGAGCTAGAAGATGCTACAGAATATGTTCACTTTTAGAATGTCATAAAATATATTTGCCTTTCTTTCTCAAAGACCCACTGCTGTAGTCAGCTTACAAAAGAGTGCCCCTCCACTAATAACACAAGGTTTTAGAGAAGGTTCACCAGGATATCCCCCTGGAAAATTTTCTTTTGCGAGGACCATGTTGGAAGACATGGAGCATCTCACACCAGCTGCGGAGGGAAGAATTAGGCAATAGTTTTGCCAGTAATGATGAGGCAGGCTAGGAAAAAATCATGTTTTAATAGTTTTTCAGAATGCAGTTGTTCTGTTCACTGGTCTATGCCTATAGCTCTGATGGGTGTTGTTAATTGTTCCTTCAGGCTCTTGTAGGCACAATGCTGCCTGCTAGGGAAGCCAGTGTCTTTTGTTTACCTGCTATGAGCTGCTGGAACATCTCCTCCATGGAGAACTATAGGAGAATCAAGAATAATCCCATGTTGCCATTTTTTGGTATGTGTGTCCAGAGTGTACACTGTGTAAACGAACCCACTCCCACAATAATCAGCTACCAGTACCTGTGGTGTTTAACAGACTGGCTTCCTCTGTAGGGAGAAGACACCTCAAGGAATGACTGGGGGCTGCCAAAACTTGACTCCATCATTTTCTCCAGCGTAGTCACAGGATGCCTTTCCGCCTTTGAATACTGCAAGAAATCATATGCATATGGAGGTACATTATGAGAAGAGGGTTGACAACATGAGAGTTAGGCATCAGTATTGTGGAATGCCAGTTTTGCCTGGATCCTGACCAGGACATCGATAATGACATCCAATGCATCCCATTTCTCACACACACACACACCAGGCTTCTGAGATTAGATAAGTGCCACTGAAGATGAATCAGTCTTCTCACTGCACTTCATGGCAACAGTGTCTGATAGCCAAAAAGCACATACAAGTATATTTTAGTCCATTCAGTTAATTGGATCTCTATTAGCTAATATTTTTTTTTCATAGATACTGATGTTGTAAACTTTATAATATTTTCAGAATTCTAGAAGAAATTTATTCATATATATTCCTACACACACACACACACACACACACACACACACACACACACACACACA